CAATCTTAATCCAGTAATTCCTTTACAAGTAATTGTAATAACGAAGTGATAAGATCGATCACAAAGAAAAATATACGATCATTATGAGCACAAAATCTTTGAATTTTAAAAATAAAAACTGGTTAGAAAAAAATTACGTTGCACTACTTTACAAAACACGCATAATAATGTTGTGGTAAAGTTTATTTCTTGCAAAGAATGCAATATGATCTTTTTTTTTCCTGAAATTGGGAGTTCACAAATATATACGGTGCAGTATATAAACTACTATTACTAAATTATATGTCAGAATATGTTGAAGGCTTACATGTGATTAATGTGATTAATTCTTTTTATGATTCTTTTTATTTGATATAGACGCATCGATTCGCTGCACATACTTACGTATGTGAAGAGAAATTAGATATAAATACAGTCAAAAAAAATTGTAAAATTGATTATGCAAAAATAAAATCCTCATACGTAGTAAAAACAAAATGAATGCTTCTAATCACAATCGACCTGATATAATCATTCCTTCACAACCACTTTTTCCACCTCCAATTACACAAGATCAATTAATAATAATTTATAAAACTCGAGTTAATGGAAAACTACCAAGATTACCGACAGCATTTATAATTTACAAAACTGCTTATCGTCAACGACTTATTGCTGACAATAATCTTCCACCTACACATATATTCTCATATATGGCAAGTATTTCTTATGAAAGAGAGCCTACATATGTTAAGAATGCTTATGTGAATTTATCTTCACAATTACGTTCTGAAAGATAATCGAAACGCGTTCACTCAAAATATAATAAAAAATTATTTTTAATTTAACACTTTATTTTTACGTGTATGTTTGCATATATTATATGGAAAAAGGTATTTATAAGTTATTTATTCTTATATATGTAGTTAAGACTTTTTTTTATGTCAAAAAAAAAAAAAAAACTTTTTTAAGTTTAATTATTTTCTTTTAAGATTAATAATAGTGAAAAAATGTATATTTCTTTGTTTTATAAAATATGAAGCGCGTTTTTTGAGAGATTGTCATAAATCTAGAGCTTGTTTCTTAAACTAATTATCATAAAAATTACCGATTTTTTTTTTTTTTTTTTATAATAAAAACTTATTACAATATTTTAACATTATGCTAAATAATTGTAAATGCACGTATTCAATTCTTTAAACGAGAGACATTTTAGGTTTTAATTTTATGCATGACTTTATTTAGTTACTTATCAGGAGACCGGAGCGGGTCTAGAACTGGACCGGTCCAGATACTGCTGTACTGTACGCATGTAGATCAAAAAAATTGACAAAAAAACAAAATATGAAATATATTAAAGACTTTAAAATATTAAATAATAATTTACATTTGATGGGTAAAGAAGATCAAAGAATTCAAAAGAATTCAATTATTGATAAAAAAGAA